AAGAGCCGGGCTGAGCTCTCGTACCTGCCCCGGCCGCCAGGCGAGCCAGAAACTCCCAGCCTGGCGACGCTGGGGCGGCTTAAATTCTCCCCTGGAGAATCTCACACACAGAAGTTCTGCGGAGAGCAGCATAACGGCCCCCAGAGACAGCGTTACGGTGGACCCACGCTCCAGCGTCAGTGTCTTCTACTTGCCTGAAGCCTGTTTCCTCGCCCTCCGCGCCCGCAGCCCCCCAGATGGTGCTGCAGCCCGGCTGCCCTGCTTTTTTGTTCTGCCCTAAAACAAGTGACCAGACCAAGTCCAGCCCCCAGGGAGCTCAGCAGCCCCCGCCCTGCTGCCCAGACAGGACACGTCTCCTGGTGGCGCAGCCTGACTCGGGGCTGCCTGGAGGCTCCTCTCCTCCTGGACCTTCTGGACCCAGGATAAAGGGAGGCTGTCGGTGCTGCGGCCCCAGGGCTGACGGGCTGGCAGTTCCTTCCAGGTTCATGTTCCTTTGCGTTTCCCCCGGAGACACAACCACTCAGAAACCTATAAATCCCTGGCAGGGCTGACGGCCCCTGCGAGTATATAAATCAGCACTTGTAAAGGCCTAATGGTCCCCTCTGGACGGCTGAGACGGGCGCGTGCCAGGAATCCTCAGGCGGGTCCCCAGGGCAGAGCCGTGGTCGGGATGCAGACCAGCAGGGCGGGGGCCAAGCGCTGGGTCCAGCTCTGCTTGGCTCGTGGCCTGGGACAAGTCCTCTCTGAGCCTGAGTTCTTGCCTCTGTGAAACGGGGTGACAGCACTCACCTTGCAGGATTTCGCCACAGAGCTGCAGGGGCCGCCTAGCATGGGAGGCGTTAGCTCTTCGGGTAGGCGAAAGGGTAAGGTGGACAGGGCCCGGCTGGGCCCGAGGCCGGGTCCCCACTGCCCATCGCTGACCTGCTCTGTGACTTTGGACAAGTCATGTCCCCTCCACGCCCATGTCCTCATTGCACGGGCTGACTGAGTCCACAGACCCACGTGCGGCCCTCCTCTGGGCCAGATTCTGCGAAGGCCGGTCCTTGTTCCCTTGCCGGTCTTCCCTGCTCCACTAATGTGTGTAACAAGCGGGTATTGAGCACCTGCTGTGTGCCAGGCGCTGTTCTAGGGGCTGGGCGCTCAGCAGTGAAGGGGACAGATTGGAGCCTGCCCTCCTGGGCCTTATGTTCCAGCGGGGGCTTCCCTAGCACAGGCCTGCTGCAGCGGAGGGGCAGGGGTGTCCCAGGCACAAAGCTGCCATGTCACAACTCTGACCACCCTGTGCTTGGTGTCCCCTCCCCGTTGGGCTGGCTTGGGGGTGTGCAGAGAGGCTGGAAGGGGCTGCAGAAATGGAGTCTTTGGGCCTGGCCTTCCAGTCTTCGCAGCGAGAGGGCTGGGGCTGGTGGTCCAGGTGGCCTGCTCAGCCCTGGTGTTCTGAGTCCGTGATAACTCATGGGCCCCCAAAGCCAGCAGGAGCAGGCCTCTCCCACCAGGACGGCCCTGCCCCAGCCACCAATGCTCTGGGCTGCCTTGGGCAGCTCACTGGCCCTCTCTAGACCACAGGAAATTAGAGGGTTTGAGGAGGGAGGGAGCCAAGAAAGGAGGAGGGTAAGGAGAACACCTGGCAGTGTGAAGAGCAGGCCCATGTGACACCACTGAGGCAGGAGAATGGAGGAAAGAGAGCGAGGGAATGAACTATGGGGTGGAGGAAGGGAGGGAGGCAAGAACTGGGAGAGGAAGGGGAAGGACAGGGCAGAGAAACAGTGGGACAGAGGGGGATGGGAGGGTGAGGAGCCAGGGAGGAGTGGAGAGGGATGAAGGGGAGCAGAAAGACAGTGAGGACAGAGGGAATGGCAGGGAGGGAGGAGAGAGGGACAGAGAGAGGGGAGGGAGGAGAGAGGGACAGAGAGAGGGGAGGGAGGAGTTGCCCTAGTGGAGACCAAGCCTGGGAGGGAGGCTGTGGGGAGGAGGCTGGACAGAGGCCAGGGCTGCGGGGCAGTCTGGAGTGGCTGGGCTGGAAGGGCAGCATGGTCACCTGGCAGGCCTGGGCACGGTCCCTGAGCCGTGCATCCCCCTGGGGCCCCTGGGCAGACTCAGCTCCTGATGCTCTATAGACGCCGCAGGGCCCCCACCCTGTGGCCTGTCCCCTGGGGCTCTCCAGGTGGGGTGAGATACACTGGCCCCTGCATCTAACCCCACTAACCCCCCCACCATGTGACAGCGACAGTCACACCTCCCTGCCAACTGGGGCTTGTTGCATGCCCCTTGCAATGTTGGTGGGAGGCTCCTCTGAGCTCCTGGCTCAGTCCCTGGCACAGAGTTGGAGCTCAGGAAGGGCTGCGGCCTTAGTTTTTTCTGGCTCATGCCAGGCCCAGGGGTCCTGCCTGGGGGACCCTGCTGTGCTGTGCTCACCTTAGATTAGGAGGGAGGCCTTGCAGGCATTAGGGCGGGTGTCCCCTGAGCGTGCCAGGAGGAGTGGGGGCTCAGAGGAGTCCCATTTACAGCTCAGGGTCCCCATGACAGCTGGGACTCACCACGAGCCCCCGCTGCCTTCAGCCCCGGCTCGGCCCTCTGTCTTGTCTCTGTCTTTGTTTCTCTTTGCCTTTGTCTCCTTTTCTCCCTTTCTGCTCTCTGAAATCAAATGAAATCCAACTGCCAGCTCCCTGTGTGTTCCCCTGCTCGCGGCTCAGCCCTTTTCATTATTAATAGAAATATGTCCTCATTGTACAGCTTAATTCTGGAGTGGATTAAGTATTTACAATGACATGCAGCATTGATTCCTGAGCATCCCTGTTCGGGGAATTTTGCCACAGCCTAATTAGTTCCATAAAATCAGTGGGGGCGGGGACGGGGGGCTTGAGGGGCCCTGGGTGAGAGCCGGGGGCTCCCGACGTGCTGCGTGACGTGGGGTCAGTCCCAGGGCTTGGACCGGCCCACTCTGGGAGGCCCAGTCGGCCCGAGTCCTCGGGTAGGACGGCGTGGTGGGCAGAGCACGGGCTCCGCAGCCCTACCCCTCGCCGGCTGCCCACACTGCAAGTCACCCCGCTCGCCCCTCCTCTCTGCGTAGGTGCCAGGGGCCGGCAGGGAAGAGGGCCTCGCCACACTGGGGCAACTGAGGACAGCGTGATGAAGGGACTGTGCACAGTGGGTGGGCAGGTGTCCCCAACCCCCTCCACACCTGAGGGGGGGCAGGGAGCTGCCCCTCCATCTGCAGAGTGGGCTGCATGGAGGGGCTTGACCAGAGCCGAGACTTCGGTGGGGACACAGCTGCCCGCGGGCGGACCCCCCTCCTGCCCTCCTCCCAGGCCGGGCTCCTCATGGCTCATGCCAGAGGGCGGCGGGGGCCAAGCGCCATCCCTAGGGGTCACGCTAAGGGGTCATCAGCGGTTGGCCTGCGCTGGGCTGTGCGTCTGGGTGGTAAGTAAGACAGTGGTACAGTAACCTCCTCGGGGGCTCTTGGGAACAGTGAGCTGATTCGGGGACATGCCCATGGGGGCACAGAGCAGCCACTCCCACGGTCGGGTATGATGGAGGCGTCCCTAGATGACTGGGAGGGACCAGGCACACATCATGGGTTTTGTCACTGCTTGGCTGGGGGCCCTCTCTGAGCCTCAGTTTCCCTCTCTAAAAGAAGGGAGTTGCCTAGATCTTTCCCTCTTGCTTTCCCAGCCCTGAAGTGCGAAGAGGCGACCGGGGCCTGCGTGCGAGTGCTGGCTGCCGCTCCTCGCCCCTGGAGGGGTCACAGCTCCTGGGCTGTTCCTGGAGCATGGGGAGGGCAGACACTGTGACCCCCTCAAGTGGTTTCACTTCAGCAGGGACAAGGCAGGAATTTTCCTTGATCTCTTTACCACGTGACCTTCAGGGTGACACAGCGAGATGCAGGCCACTGCCCAGGTCACCTGCACAGGCCTGGACTGTGGGCCTGTTCCTTGTGCTGGACGCTGGGGAGACGAGCAGGGGAGCGAGACAGACCCTCGCGAGCCCCAGTCCCCCAGGGCAGGCGTGGGCTCCCCGGACAAAGGATGCTGTCTGCCCCTGCCGGTCGGCAGGACCTGCCTTTGCCCCTCGCCTTCCGAGGCTGTTTGCACTCGTCCTGGAAGGCTCGACTGCCCTCCCACGGCATTTGCTGGTGACACAAACCCAGGCACCCGATTGGAAGCTCATTTTCCCACCAGCTGAGGACTCGGTGCAGCAGGCAGAGATCTGGGTCCCAGTTTCCGCCTCGGCCTGCACCTGCCGGCGGGGCTGAGCCTGCCTTGCGGCCTTGTCCTGGGACTAGTAATGGTGCCCGTAAGGCCCCGGGCCCTGAGGGCCCGCACGACGGAGTTCCCTTCCCCATGGTTGGAACCCAGGGCCGGAGCTCGTTTCCAAGTGGCCTCCCCAAGCCCAAACACCCAGCTTTTTGTCACACTCCTCCGAGGTTCTCCTGGTCACAGTCTCTAGGCTGAATCACAAAGCAGAACCAGGCCCCCACGTCTTGTTTCCAGTTTTTAATTTTTTCTTGTAAAACCAAAAATATAAAACTGGCAGGGGAATGAAAAACAAGTTCTGTACATTTTATATACACGAGGTCTGTGATTTCAAAACCACTGGGCAGAGAAAGGGGAAGACACAATCAAGGGACTGTCACAGGGTCCTGGAACCCGGCGGGCACCTCTGAGCGCCTAGCCCGGGCTTGGACGATGGCTCCCGGCAGCGCTGGGCACCGCTGCAGCAACGCGCCCTGCACTGGTGGCCTGGCTGCTCCGGCCGGACGCACGGAGCGTGGGGGCGATGGCGAGTGGGTGACCCAGGTCCGCAGCGCAGGGCAGGCAGGTGTGGACGGCGACGTCCTTCAGGTGTCCGTGTAGATGGAGGGGATGTGGCCCAGGCAGTGGTCAAAGGCCCCGTTGGGGAAGAAGCCACAGTCCTCAGGGCCGCTGGACACCACATCTTCAGATGGCTGCGGTGGCAGTGCCGTGGGGCACGCAGCCTCGGCTAGGGCCTCGTAGCCTGTGGGCGGGTGGGGGAGGGTCAGGGCTGGAGGACGGCAGGGGCTTCCCAGCCACCACCCTGCCTGCCCAGGGTCCCTCCTCACGGCGTCCCCTTGGAGGGGCCTGCTCTGAGCCCCTGCTTTTCCAGATGGGGGAGCCGATGGATGGGTGGGGAGGGGGTCGGAAGGTGTTCTAGGCCTTGCACACCCCGGGGCCCAGGGCAGCAGGGAAGATAGGCACAGGCTGGCTCTGGACTGTGGGGCAGACTTGCGGGGGTGAGGAAGGGCAGGGCTGCGAGTAACACAGCCTTTGCCCTCAAGGGTCGGTCCCCTCCTGGCAGAAGGACCTGGCTCACCCCCACTCCTTCAGGTTCCTCCTCTCCACTAGATACAAGAAGCCCAAAGAAGGGAAACAGAATTTCCTGGGCACTTACTAAATGCTCATGCAAGCCTTATTTCACTTAAGCTTCACAATGATGAGGTAGGATTCATTATCCCATTATAGAATTGGGAAAACAGGCTCAGAGAGGGCAGGACACTTGCCTAAGGTCACACTGCCAGTAAGGAGAGGAGCTGGGACTTGAACCCAGGTCCCTCTGGCTCTGAAGATGCCTGGCTCTTTCCCTGGACATGCTGTCTCCAGGGTAAGGTCACTGCTCAGAGGTCCTGTCCCTAAGCTGCTGTCATGAGCTTGTGTGGTCTAAGAAAGGTAGGCCTCAGTCTTCCCATCTATGCAATGGGGTTGGCTGAGCTGTTCCGAGGCCCTGCAGCCCCATCAGCCTGTCACAGTCTGGATTTGATGCTGTGTGTCTGTTCTTGGATTGACAGAGGAGGTGTGGGCAGCTGAGCCGGGCCCGGAATGGGCACTGGGGAGAAGGGAGGCCAAAAAACCGCCCATCCTGGTGTAGGGGGCCTGTACACATGGGCATATGGACTCTGTAGTTGAACACAGGCACACAAGCACGCTCCTCTGAAACAGCCACATCACACACATGCACATACATGTCTGTGGAAACAGACATGAGGCATGGGGCGGGTAACACAATGTGCGCACAGACGGGGCACACGGACAGCAGCACAGTATGATATGAGTACACAGGGCAGACATGACTGTGTCTGCCCTGCAAGCTCCTTACACGCTCACGGGGGCTCACACTGCCCACCTGTGCCACCCTACCTGCTCAGGCACACACAGACACGTGAAGACAGACTACAGCCATGGAGCAGGTGTGGGGACGTGGACCCACAGGTTCGTGTGTGCCTACCTGAGGCCTCGGTGCCTGTTTCTGTGTTCCTGTCCTTCCAGCCCCGGCTGCACATACTCAGTGCTGCCCGAGGGGCCTCTGTGGCAGGTGTCGGGCTCCACTCTGGGCTCTCGTGTGCCCCAGCTAGACCTGGGCCTGCGGCCATGCGGGGGGGCTTGGCCTGGGGAATTCAGGGTGGGTCCAGCCCACCCATCTGATGCCCCTGCTCTGACCAGGCCTGGGCCTGCTGGTCTGAGCCCGACCCCCCTGGGCTGTGTGACCTCCCCTCCCCCTGGGCCTCTCTGCCCGGGCCGGGGCATCACCTGGGGAGGCACAGATGCACCCAGGAAAGAGCACAGTTCCAGGCTCTGTCCTCCCCTGGTTTCCTCATCTGTTAAATGGAAATCAGTATTCAGTTCATTCCCTGCTATATCCCCAGGGCCTGCACCTGTGCCCACCACACAGTAGGTGCTTAATAAATATTTGGAGTGAAGCATTAATTAGACCATGAGCTCCCAGTCTGAGTCTTCAGAAACCTGTCAGGTCCAGACACATATAAGCCGAGTGAAACTGTGGGAGGGACACTGACTTCACAAGCAGGGTGCCAATCCTGGTTCTGTGGGCCTCCCGACCTTCTAGTTCCTTCTCTGCACAGCGGTGATGACCCTCCCGCATAGGCTGTCCACAGGCTGCAGGACATTGCACGGGCAGGGCCTCGGAGGGTGTCGGGCAGGGCAGCAGGCGGGCAGGGCTCACCTGTGGCAGGCAGGGGCACGCTGAGGCTGTGGAAGCCGTTGGGCCGCAGGGGGTTGAAACCATGGGCTTCGCCGGCCAGTCCGTCCCCACCGACCGCGGGCTCAGTGGTCCGGTAGCAGTCGCCGTAGGGGAAGCAGTTCTGGATGGAGTGGAAACTGCCCTGGTAGCCTGCGGAAGGGGGTGGCAGGGGCCGCGTTGACAGAGGGAAAACGCCCAGGGCAGGCGGGGACGTCCTCGCTGCACTGTGCAGCCCCCATGCTGTCCCGCCGGGCAGCGTGGGCGTGGCGAGAGAAGAGAGCAGGGAGACAGGGCTCCCGCAGTTGGGGCTGTCTCAGCTCTGCCCTGCAGGGCTGGTGGGCAGGCGAGGGTGGCTGGGACGGTCCCCTGTGGCTGTGCCGGCGTCATCTGTGGCTGGCCCCACTGCTCTGAGGGCGGGACTGCAGCCCTGCTACTCCTTCCACACTCAGGCCCAGCATTCCCAGTCCCTCGCGGTGGCTCCAAGCCACAGGCCTTGCCACCCTGCCGCCACCGACGCTGTGCCCTCTGCTGAGAATGCCCCAGATGCCTTGTCCACGACACAGACTCGTTCTCACTTTCTGAACCAATTTCCCCCAGGAAATGGCCCCTGCCCAGGCCTTTAGGTCACCTGTCTCCCAGCTTCTTCCAGTGTGGCCCGTCAGTCTCCAGTATCCCCGGCCTCCCCCCGGGGCCGGTGTCTCATTCCTCGGGGTCCCTGAGCAGGAGCTGGGAGGGCACACGGGGCAGCCCCCCCAGAGCTTACCTTGTGGGCTGGGCAGGGGCGGGGGCGGAGGGCTCTGGAAGGGCGGGTAGGATGGCTTGCTGGGCAGCGTGGAGAAGGGCTGGCCCCCGGGGGAATGGCTCTGGGAGGACGGTGGCAGCGGCGGTGGCCCGAGCCCCTTCAGTGGGCTGACCATGGGCGAGAGGAGGCCAGGCCCCAACCTGGAGAGAGCAGAGACGGCCATCAGCAGGGAGGGGCTGCCGAGGCCTGTGTCCCCGCAGTGGGGAGCCACCAGCTGACCTGCTCCCACTCCCCGCACAGCAGTTAGAAGAGGAAGCTTGTATTTCGGATCGCGCCCAAATTGAAACTGTAAAACCCTGTGAGCATTGGAGTGAGGGTTGATAGCCAGCAATGACGGAGGGAATAAGCGTGACCCTTGGAGTCGACACAACTGTGTGCAGACCCCTAACCGCTCTCGTTGGCCACGTGACTTTGGCAATCTGCCTAACGTCTCTGAGCCTTGGTTTCCTCGTAGGGCACGGCTGCCGGCTGGCACACTCGGGTCCTCACTACCAAGAGCTCAACCCCAGCCACTGCTGCCGGGTGCCGGGCGCTCTGCCTCTTCCTCCTGGAGGAAGCCCCGGACGGCCGCATTGAGGGCCACGGCGGTTCCTTAGCAGAACAGCCCACGGCACTGACAGTCACCATTCACGGAGCCCCTGCCTGGCCCGAGGCCTCATGACACAGGTGTCTTACATCCTTTTTGCAGATCAGAAAACCAAGGTTCAGAGAGGTTTGTCCAAGTTACTCCCGGCCACACAGCACTGACCTCCTGAGTTACAGTGAGGGTAAAATTAAAGCAATGTAGATAAAGCACTCAGGATGATGACTGATACATTCCGAGCCACACCATCAATCATCGCCATTGCTGCCAAGACGACGGGGGAAAAACTAGTAGGTGGGTCTGATGTCCAAATTGGCCTTTTTTTCCTGCAGTGTACTCTGAGGGACCTTCTCCTGGATCTCCATCCCTGACCATCTCTCCTCCACTTGCACACCTCCTGTGATGGGAGGCTCACTACTTATAGTCATACATCTAAGGGGATGTGGGCCCAAGACCTTCTCCTGGATCTCCATCCCTGACCATCTTCCTCCACTTGCACACCTCCTGTGATGGGAGGCTCACTACTTATAGTCATACATCTAAGGGGATGTGGGCCCAAGACTGTGCTCTCTGGCAGCTCATATTCTGAAGCAAGACTGCAGCAGCTGAGAGCTCTCTGTAGGCACCCCGAGCCCAGCCCAGCCCAGCCCGAAGGGCAGTCTAACTGGATGCACGTCACTGCAGATGAGGTTCCCTCCTCACACTGCCCTCCTGAGCCTGCTGGGCCCTGCTCACAGGGAATAAAATGACTTTGGGATCACTTGGGCTTGGGGCACTGGGAACCAGGTTGGAGGCTCGTAGCCTATAAAGTCTTTCTGCGGTGCAGAGAGACAGAAGGAGAGCTCAGAGTCTCTACTTTCCTGTTTGGATCTGTGGGTTTGCTGGACCATCCACATTAAAATATACTGCAAGTCCCACGTCACAGCTCCAGGTGGCCTTGTCAAGCTAGGCATGTGACCCTCGCCCACCGCCTGAGACATGAGGTGTGAACGGACAGATCAGTGCCCCTCTCTGAGGGAAGGAGGGTCTGGAAATGGAGAAGGGAGATATGGGGAGAGGTCAGGGCTCCATGCCTGCAGCTGGGCCAGGTTCCTCTCTGCTCCCTCCAGCCTGGGCAGCCTGTTGTCACTGCCCCTCCTCTGTGTGGTCTGGGACCCCCACTACTGAGAGCTTGCTGGGGGCGGGGGAGGGGTCCTCAGCAACTAACACACTAACACATTATAGGTACATGTTACCTTTTTAAGTTTGTGAACTGAATCCTCATCAAGTCTCCGTGAATGAATTGTCACTACCATCATCATTATTTTTAGGCCTGTGTCACAGGGCCATCAAGTGGGACGGGTCTACCTCTGCCCTATAAACTGTGGAGGGCTGTGACAAGTCAGGTGTCCTGGTTACCAGTTCTCCTGGCTGGAGCTGGGCTGAGGCATGGCCAGGACAGCGGATCCTCCTTCCCCCAGGCCTGCTGTGCGGTGCCTGCCCACTCCCATCCCAGCGGGGACACCCACCGCCCACTCGCCCCTGGTTGCCTGTTGCCCCTCCCCTGGAAGCCCCTGCAGGGAGGGCCGGGTCTTGGCCCCTCTGGGTCACCGTGTATCCAGCACTGGGCCTGGCACATGGCAGACAACCAATAACACTAACAAACGGGTTTCTGAACCTCTCGGCTACAAAACCCAGAGATTAAAGCATCGCAGAATTAAGGAGAACCAGATCTGAAGGGGAAAAACACGCATTTTCCAAGTTTGTTTTTCCTGTCTCAGCCCTGCCATAAATTCGCATTTGCCACCTTCACAGCCAGTGAAATTAAACAGAACACGACTATCCGCCGCAGACGTGAAGGCTGAGGTTACGCGGCTCTACCTGAACTCTTTAAAAGGAAAAAAAGATCATCTGGAGCTCCTCTTCTGAGTCATGCAAATAATTCCTAAATCAAATATTTTTGCTTCAATTGGAACCTATAAAAATTAATATAAAACCTCACTGGCCTGGCAGACTGAGAGCTTCAGACCTCGCACGGGGCTGGGAAAGAAACACCCTATTCAGCATCTCCTCTGAGCCAGGGTAAACACATTTGGTCATGAAGTCAGGCCCTCTTAGCATATTTTGAGTGAATCAGATAATTCTGTCAAGCTATTTAAACGTCCCAGCAAACCACTAGGGAGCCGCGAGAGGCCGTTCCCTGTTGACTTTGGCAGGAAGGGGAGGCAGAAGGCCTTCTCCCCCGGCTCCTCCTCAGGGGATGAAAACAGAAACCCATTCAGGCTGGGCCGGGGCCTGGTGTCAGGCGCGAGGGCCGTCTCCTGCGGCTGGAGGAGCCGGTGGCCCGGCTGCTCGGGATGACTTGGGGCCCTGCTGCCGTGGGCAGGGGTGGGCCGGCAGGCTGGGGTCCCGTCTTGTCGCCACTCCGCCTCTCGCTGCAGAATTTCTTGAAGGTCACTTAGGCAGGCGGCAGGCAGGTGATGAGCGAGGTGGGACAGAGAGCACAGGCCCGAGGAGGGAAAGGCCTCTGTGGTTTATTTTCCTTTGGTTGGAGGTGTTTTTAGGTTGGCTGGTGGGTGAGCAGGTGGCCTGACCAGGTGGGCGGGGGGGGGGGGCCAGTGTCGGTGGAACTCATACCAGGTGACACACACTCTGTCAGGCACATGTAGCTGACCCTCACCACCTTCCTAGAGGAGGGTTTTTAAATGTCCTTTACAGAAGAAGAAGCAGAGGCTGGGGGACTGGCGGGTTTCCTGGTTCCCTGTGCAGCCCGTTGGGGCTCTCTGCCCACATGTGCGTGCAGCCACCATCTCCCCCTGCCCCGAGAGTGGTCCCTGTGCACAGCCAGGGCCCATCCCCGATGCCCGCCTCTCCCTGCCTGGCCAGAGTTTCCTGACTCCTGCTTGCTCTGTGTCACCATCACCTTCCAGTGTTCCTCCTGCCACCCTGGACCTGGCCCAGCTCAAGATCCATCTAGCACCCCACCTTCCACCCTGCACCCTGCAATCGAGCCCTGTGATGCAGGCCCCAAACCTGACCACACCACTGCTCAACACCCTTCGGGCTAGAGTCCCATCCCAGGCCTCGTGATCAGGCCCGGGTGACCTCTCCCAAGTGTATCACCCCACAGCATGGCTCATGTTTCCCAGGACACACCAGGCTCTCGCCAGGCCACCTTTGCCCTTGCTGCTCCTTCCTTTCTCCCAAGCTCCACACTTGACCCACTCCGACCTCACCTCCTCACCTCGGAGGCCTGGCTCAGCATCCCCTCCTCAGGAAGCCTGACATCCTCCCCTCGCCCATTCCCTGGGATCTCTTGGCTCCCACGGCACTTCCTGCCTCCTCCCCTCTGTGTGGCCAATCTCTGGAGGAATGTCTGTCTCCCTCGCAAGGGGCTTCTCCGGGGGCTCCATAACTGTACACTGAATGAACGGATGGATGATGGCGGGAGGAGCCTGGGTAGGAGCAGTAGGCCACAAGTTTGGTGACAAAGCCAGGCTGGTCCCATAGGCAGGCCAAGGCCAAGGCTGCAGCCTTGAGGAGGAAGGGCAGGGAAGGAGGAAGGTGCTGGGGCCAGGCCTTGGGGGACAAGTTTGATCAAATCACTGCTGGTGTCAAGCAGAAAAGGCAGGGAGGGCAGGCGGGCAGGGCTGAGAGGCCTCCTCCTGCTCATTTGCAAGGAAAACAGATTTCAGCAGCATTAGGGGCCAGCAATTAACACATTCACCATTTCCAGCCACTTAAGTGGCCACAATGAGAACCACATTGAACACAGGGAGAGGCTGCCCCTCTCTGCAGCGATCCTGCAGTGAAGGCTCCCAGACAGCCCCAGCAGACCAGGCGACGGCCACAGCTGCAGCGGCCAGAGACAGGCGTGAGGCCCAGGCCAGCACCCCTGGAGCGGGCAGTGGGCAGTCTGGTCGCCCAGTGCCTGGATGAGCCAAGGAGAAGCCAGAGTGAGCCCCGAGGAGGCCTGGGGTTGGGTGGGGAGCACACCATCTTCCCAGGGTCCCCTGAGGGGGACAAGAGGGTACATGAAGTGACAAGTTCAGAAGCCTGGTCACCAATACTGTCTACCTCGTAGGGTTGTTGTGAGGCTCCAGTGAAACTGTACACAGGAAGAGTTTACAGCACAGTATGCAGTAAGTGTCCAATAAATGTTGGCTGTTTTCATTATCAATGACAACCAGATAGTGTGCAGGACACTTGCCCTTGCCTGCCTCCCACGCAGGTGCCCACGCGCTGCCCCTGGAGCAGACTGGCGTGATGTGGTACATACCCGTCCCTGGAGCCCTCAGCCATGGGCAGAGGGGACAGATGGTGGTGGGAACCGGTGCTGGCGTCCAGCGGGTGATGCCTGGAAGGGACGTCATGCGTGGGGGGCAGGATGCCTGATGCAATCCCGTTGTGAGGGGTGATGGAGCCGGGAAACACACCTGCAGGGAACCAAACAGATGTCACTGGACTTTGGCCATTCCCTAGAGATGACTGTGGACAGCCCAGGAGCTGTGTGGGCCTGATTATGGAGAAAGACAAGAAAGAAAATGAGCAAGGTTGTATTAATAGAAGTTTAGGGGCAAAATTGAGGGAGGTGATGGCCCCACTCTGCTCAGTTCAGCCCTGGCTAAATGGCTGTGCCCACAGCTGGGCCCCAGCCTGACAGCAGAGGTGGACTGCAAGGGACTGTCAGAGACACGGGTGGCCGTGCCCTGCATGTGTACACGTGTGTATGGGGGGCATGTATGGAGCAGGCACTTCAAATCTCTGTGGGGCTGTTCTGGAAAAGAAGAGGCAGATGGAGACCCTGGAATGGAGAAAAGCTTGAGAGAAGCAGACACCAGCTGAGGGCTTGGCAGTGCCTTCTAACAGGCAGTGTTGCTACAGGGCAATGGGCTGCCTTTGATAGAATAACTATCCATCCCCAGAGGTGTGTAAGTAGAACCTGGGTGTCCACTGTGAAGGGTTCCAAAGAGAGATGACTGCACTAGCTGGGTGGCAGGCTGGCTTAGAAGACCTCTGAGAGGGCTGCCATGGATGGTTGTACAGGCTGTACACTGCACAAGGGTCCCAGCTGAGGAGAGGAGTCACCCATGCTCTAGCTCAGATTCTAAACCTTCAGAAGACACTTGTAGGGTGGTACCTTTTATCACCTCTTACCCCCAAGGACCTTACCCTTATTAAGAAGACAGATGGGCTAACAAATCAATGGGGGACACAAGGTCAGAGGTAGATGTTGCTCTGAGGGCCCAATTATGGGTTTGGTAGTTACTGAGGCCAGCACTCCCCAGATGCCTTCACCAAGGAACCCTGATCACAGGGGAGAACAAACTCCTACTCTGGGACTCCGTGGACTGGGGTGGCACTCAGGGGTGCACTGATGCAGTGTCCACTCTGGCCAGTGGCCGCCCTGGGCCAGCTGTCACATTTGAGTATCACTCTGGTGACCATGGATCCAGGCCCAGTGCTCTTTATCACACTGTAAGGACCAGCCTCCTTTCCTGGATAGGGTGAGGGAGGAATTGTACCTTCTCAACCATTTGGAGTTCCAAGTATAGCCCATCCCCGGCTGACCCAGGCCTGCATTCCAGGAGGCGGCTACGGGAACTGAGCAGGGCGCTGGCAGGGATCGGCAAAGGGTGGCAATGCCTTAGGCGGCGCAGCACGGAGAAAAATAAGTGAAACTTCAGGATTAAAGGTAGGAAGCGGGAGGACTGTGGCAAAGTGGAGAGAGTATATCCTGTAAAGGACTTTACATTGAAACTGTTAGAAAAGCAAACAGCCAAAAATAACCTCCATGGTGCCTGTGAGACCCAGCGGTTTGCAACCCCTGGCCTGGAGTTTGAGCACAAGCACCCCATGTTACATGAGGCGAAATTCTACTCTTACAACAATAATCACCGCAACTAAGAATGCGCACGTGCCAAGCTCTTGCTCCACAGTATCTCGCAGAACCATCTCGACAACTGTCAGTGGTGGAGATAATCCGATCCCATTTTAAGATGAAGAAACTAACTCTCAAGAAGTACTTGTCCAAAGTCACAGAGTGGGCAGCCAATCAGGCCTGTCTTCCCAGCGGTAGGGAGACAAAGTCCATCTGAGGCCAGGGCCAGGAAGTGGCGCAGGCCCCTGCTCAGGTCGTGGCTGGACGTTGGTGGGGGCCTGGGCTCCGGGCAGACTCTCGGGCACCCTCTAGCCCTCGGCCCCAGTCCCTGCCCTCCCTGCCTCTGGAACCTCCTCTCCCAAGAGCAGGACCACCTGTCCCCAGCCACTGCCTCCTGGGCCCACACAGCCCTCCCCCCCCCGCCTCCCCCCGTGGGAGAAGTCACCCGAGGGGACCTTGGCGGGAGGAGCCTGGCTCGGTGCTGCTTAGGGCTCGTGCTGCTCACCGCTGTCCTTTGCACCCCCTCACCTGCCACCTTGAACCCATTTGGGGGCCTGACAGCCGGGAAGGCCTGGAATCCTGGTAACTCCCGCTCCCTCAGCCACGCTGACCTCATGCTGCCCACGTCCTCACTGCCCACCACGTCACCCCGGCCTGCTAGGGACGGGCTGCCCACTACCCTCCCCAGGGTTTCCTATGAAGAAGGAAGCAGGTGCCTCCCGTGAGACAGGCTCTGGGGGCTGCTGTAACCAGACAAGGAAAAGTCGACATCTCCCTCTCCCTCACCCTTCTGTTCTGGACCCTTCTAACCCTGTTTCCCCCGCCTCTGCCCTCCCTGGGCCCAGGGCCCTGCCGTACAGCACCCCCGCCCGAGAACGGACATGTAGTGGGCGACTGAGTGTGTGCAGGAGGGATGCTGACCACGTAGACAAGCGCTGGACGGGCATGAAGGAATTGCCAGACTGCGAGGGGCAGTGGGAGCGGGACGCCGGGGGTGATGGGCTCACCCCAAACACACTACTTCAGGCTGTACAGCAGCAGCATCGATCATCAGCCGTGAGCACGTAACCTCTGGCCCTAACGTCTGTTCCCAGCTGTGCCTCGGGCGTCTGTCTGTCCCGCAGGACAAGCTGGCAGGTTGGAATCTGGAGGATCCAGGTCACCTGGTTGTGCCTGGCAGCAGCTCGAGGACATGGACTAGCATGGGGCGTGGCATATGGCAGGTTCTCGGTAGGTAGAGGGGTAGCGTTAACAGCAGGGAGGCAGTGGACTATTGGGTAAGAGCACACCCTGCAGCCAGAGGACGTGGGTTCAAATCCTGCCTCTGCCACTTGCCGGCCGTGGATAGCACGTACCCTAGGCTGGCGTTAGGATCACGGCAGTGAGCACACACCAGCTCAGTCCCTGGAGCGGCTCCCTGCATGGATTCAGTGAATGTTGGGTGTTGCGTTAGTGTAAGAGGGCTGAGTGAATAGCCACCCTCTCATTTACCACAATGACAATAGTAATAATGGTAAAAGAAAAATCCCATAGGATTCGTATAAGTGATCATGTCCACAATCATATTTGTTCTTATGGGAGGTCTGTGAGGGAAACTGAGGCTCAAAGCAGGGAAGGCACCACTGACTTGCTGTCACAGGGCAAGCAAGGCAGGTCCCGGCAGGTGTCGCATTACCTGTGAGGCCCTCCAACCTGTGAAGGTGCCTCAGCAGTTCTGTTTCTCATTTGTAGCACGGGGTGGTTGGGGGTCGCATGGTCTGGATGACATCTGCAAAGTGACCCGCCCAAGCAGGTGCTCAAGGGGTGGTCATTGCTGGCCTTGCCCCTTCTCCCCAGGCCAGCCCTCAGCTGCCATCTGGGAATACAGGTGCCCGCCCCCCCCCCGGACTGCTGCTGGCTTCTCCGGATGACCCTGGGGAGTCCTTGTCCTGCCCGGGCCTAGTGCTCCCAAGGAGAAACGGTGGCCTCGCCCAGGGGCAGCTCTGCTCATCGGAGGCAGCCTTTCTCCTGCGCAGAATCCCTCTCAACACAGACCCCCAACTGTCACCGCCCGTTGCTGGGAGCTGCCACTTGAGATACCTTCATCCCTGGGCCAGGTCAACCCCATGGTCGAGTCCAACCTGCCATGCTAGCCATGCTGACCCAGTGGGACGCAGCCCCCGCACAGGGTCCTCTAGCTGGCGAGGGCGAGTGTGACCTCCTCCACCCATCGTCCTGGGTGTCAACCCCCCCCCGGGCCTGTCGCAGCACAGACCCCTGTGCAGGGGCCCACGAGAAAGGGTAAAAACCTTCTCTTCCTGAGGCTGTTTGGCAAGTGCTTTGATACATTTTTAAATCTGCTGCTACTTCAACACTGAGGGGAAAGAATAAGAAATCAGAAAATAAAAAATGTCTAAAATGGTTGGAGTAATTCAAGAAATCCCAGAGGGCGGGCAGAGCTTTCTGTCTGATGCTGTGGTTTCTCTCGGGGGAGCAGGGGGTGCGAGCATTGTCGGCTGGAATCCAAAGGCCACAGCGCCCTTGTCTGGGCTGGATCCCCAGGCCACAGAGCCAGGAATTCCTGCTGTGGCCTGAGACCTGCCCCGTGGCCCGCAGCCGCTGGGAGGGACGGACAGGCCACCTCCGCTGGACCAGAGTGTCTGGATGGATGGACCCGCAGGGACCCAGGGGCTCAGGGGACCTCATCCTGGGCCACAGAGTTCAGTGCTGAGCTGGAAGCGATTTTGGCCAAGTTGTCTACACTCTCAAAGCCTCAGTTTCCTCCTCTGAAACAGAAGTCCTGGTGGGGCTTCAGCAGGACTTTGAGCCGAGGCCAGAGGCAGAATGGGCTCTTCTTGAAGGTGGTTCCTGCCTGTGGATGATCCTGGCAGCACGTGCCATCAGTTAGGGCTGGGTCTCACCCAGGCCACCGCAGCCTCTCCTCATTACACTCGGGGCAGGGCCACACGGTCCCCCAGCCCGGCTCTGTGTATGTCCCTATGCTGGGTGCCAGTGACTGTGGGATGAGGCAGACCCTGGCCTTGCCCTGGAGGAACTCGCAGTCTGGTGGGGGAGGCAGACGGGAAACAGAGCGACAGCCCAGAGGAAGGCTTCCTGGAGGAGGGGGTCCCCAGGTGAGTCCTGAAGGAGGGGCAGGGGGAAGAGAGGCTGGCAGGGTGTGGACCGTGGCCTGGGGTGAGAGGGAGCAGAGTATTCAGGGAGCTGCATCTGATGTGCCAAGGTCAGGGCAAGAGGCCACCAGGAGGGCCCAGGCCGAGGAGTGTGGGCTTCCCCCCCGTGGGCAGTGGGGGCCGCAGGAGTGTGAGGGGACATCTGCCTGGTTAGGTGAGTTGCAGAGAGAAGACGGGTTCAAAGTGGGGAGCCAGCGGCAGAGAGGCAACCACACCCGACAAGTGGCTGCCCATGTGGGTGGCCCACGGAGCATCCCCGTTGTCCGGGAGGCACCCCCGGCAGAGAAAAGGCCCTCTCGGAGCCCGTTCTGCCCGTGCCCCTGACCCTGCCTCCCCGCACACGTACCTGCGAGCAGCTCCTGGCCTGGGGCTCGGCCGCCCTTCCCGTCACTGGCAGCCAGCTGTGAGGCTGCGTGGAGCTGCTGCAGGGCCAGACACTCGGTCAGGACATCGGCCTCCGTATCAGGGCCCACGTGCAGCTGGGAACAAGCAGAGGGAGACGGGTGTTCGTGTGAGAACGCCTGCCCACCACGACCCTCACTTTAGGGGACAGGGAAGGAAGCACGGCAGCACCAGGGCAAGACCTTTCCTGTCGCCGTGGCTCAGTTTCCTCATCTGTAAAATGGGGCTAATTATATATATTGTAAAGACCGTGTTAGCCCAGGGCCTTTGAGAAGCAGAGGCTGAGATGGGATTCAACATGTAAGGATGTTGAGAGGGTATGTGCCCGTATGAAAGAAAGCAGGGAGACAGCCAGGAAGGCTGGGCGAGGCCCGGACCCAGGAAGGAGGGAGGGGAAAGAGGCTGGGTGGAACCTTCCTAGACTGGGATTTGGGGACTTGGGGAGTCCTCAGGGAGCCAAAGCCTGCTGAAGTCAGGGGAGTCCTATGTCCCCTAGGAAGGGCTGCCTCGGTGTCCCTGCTGGCCCCGCCATATCCAGTCACTGCTGGGCAGCCTGTGGGAGGCATGGCCTCAGCACAAACACTGAGGCAGCTGCAAAGGGCAGCACTGGGGCCTCCTGGAGGTGGCTGGAAGGGTGTGAGGTACATTCTGTGGCGGACACCTGGCGAACTAAGGCATGGGAGTGAAATGCAGTCTGCACGCAGTAGGTATCCATAGGTATGCAGCAAGCGCCTCTGCCTCCTCCCTCCCCATTCCCTGTGCTCCACCTTTCCTCCTTCTGGGTAATAGGTGCAGTGCAAACAGTTCAGGGGACAAGAGCTGGGCTCAAATCCCATTCTTTCTCTGTGTGATGGTGGACAAATAACTTGACCTCTCTACCCTGCCCGTAACAAGCAGCCATGGTCATATGTCACACAGGTTGCTGGGTGCAGCGATGAGACGATGGGCAGGGACACGCTTTGTGAGGCGCTGTGTCCAGGGCTGGCTGAACTCCGGCTGGCCGAGCCCACCTGGTCACCCTGTAGTGGGCAGGATGGGTCGGCACGTGGACTCGAGGTCGCCTGGCTGACAGCAAGCTGGGCTGGATGCTCCCTGCAACCCAGGCAAACCTTTGCCAACAACCCTTGGCTGTCTCCAAAGACCGTCACCCCAGAACGCCTTCACCTCCCCAGACAGAGCCAGAATGGGGAGGGATGAGGGACCCTCAGGATATCGGGAGGGGAGTGAGGGGGCAGGCACGTAGATGGGCTTGTTCAAATGCTTGCCTTAAACAGACCCAGAAAAGGCAAGAGCCTGGTCCCACGTCACACAGCAGTGGAGAGTCAGCCTGAGGGGTTTTCCACCCTCCCAGGGCAGAAGGGCCGGGACCCAGGCTTGAGAAGGCAGGCCCAGCCTCGAGATGGGCTCATGGCTCCCTGACCCAGCAGCTGTTTTCCATGTAAATTAAGTTTCTGGCAAAAGAAGGCCAAGGCATGTTCTTGCAGACCGCAATGTCGATCGGATTAGGAGCAGCAGGAGAGGAGAATTAAGGAAGAAAAGCATTTCTAATTCTCTCTGAAACGCAGCAGGCCTGCCAAGGAGTTGTCATAATACAAGGGTCGCTTTACCCAGAAAGATATATCATCTCAGATGGCTTTTAATGGATGCTTATTGTTGGGAAGTTTGCAGATCTGCTGCCCCAAGTCCCTGGGGGCCCAGTGTGAGCCAAACACGGGGCCTGGGAAAGCCAGGGCAGGGTTCCGGTCCTCGGGCACTGTTCCGCTTGGGACAGAAGCCTCCCTGGCGTGGAGCTCCAGCCTACTGAAGCCTTGGCTATTCCCTGTCCCCGCTCAGGCCCTGGAGACAGAAAGGTCTGGGATGGGACCAAGTTCTGTCACTCCCAGGCTGCATGGTTCTGGGTTGGTTTGTTAACTCTCTGAGCCTCAGTTTCCACATCTCTAAAATGGGAATAAAAATAGACATTGCACACCTAGGGTTATAGTGAGGACTAAAGGAGATATAGGGCGTGAAGGCCCAGGTGCAGTGCCTGAACCATGGAGGCAGCTGGGTAAAGCTCACCCCACTTCCCAGGGGGAACAGGGAGGCAGCGTTTCTACCAAGGACTCACCGGGCGGGCTTTGCCCACGTCCTTCCTCTGCTCCACAGCGTCCTACAGGATGGAGACCGACGTCCTGAGCCTGGCTGTCTCCTCCCAGCATCTTTCTCACTGAGGCCTGTACCTCGGTACTGCCGCCAGTACCCCACTGCGGCCTCCCCCAACCCACGGGCCTAAAGCACTACGTTCTCCAGCCTGTAGGCCGTGGGCCTGCTGTACTCAAGCCTGCGTCTGCAGCTCACCCAGTGCTTGGAATATAGTGGCTGCTCCAGAAATCCTACTGGCCCCTGGTGTCTCTTTACCCCACGCCCTTACCCGGCACTCGAGGGCCCCCATTCCCATGGCCCTGGTGGTCCTCAGCAGACATTGAGTTGAACCCAGCCAGGTGGGCTCTGCCCTCAGCTGTAGTCCTGTCCCTCCTGCTGCAGCCTGGGTCCCTCAGCCACTCACACACTGCTTGTCCAAAATGGAACCCGCTGCTTTTGCCTGCAGACCTTCTTAAAGAGTCTCTGTCCTGGTGAGGGGCCCCACCATCCTGTCTCCAGGGTTTGGCACTGGGGCTCCTGGCAGCCCTTCCTCCTCCTTCCCGCTGTGCCCCAGGCTGGGCCCCACATCTCTCCTGCTCCCCAACCAAGCCCAACCCATTCTCCACGTGGCCCCCAGAGCCAGTCATCTCTGAAGGCCACAGGTCCCTTCTCTGCATAGCACCCACCAAGCTCAGGTGCTAAGGCCCTTGCCCAGGGCCACAGAGCCAGCAGTGGTGACCCGGGCTCCAGTGCTCACGCCCCTGACCTGCACGCTTGCCCTGCTTCACAGCTTCCATGGGCCCTCCTGCTCCCATCCAGAGGGGCTGAGGACCCCTTATCTGTGCTCCAGACTACTCTGCACACCTCTACTGTCACCGCTATGATAGGATATTGGATCATGTCTTTACGTCTGCCTCTCACCACCAGGCAATTGCAAGAGGGGATGTGCTTTTTCATTTTTGCATCTTCCGTGTCCAGCACAGGGCTGGACATGAAACGTCTGCTGCACAAGCCACGGTGGGTGGGCAGATGGGTGGGAAGGGGAACTGGAGGGTGGTCTGTGGTAGTAAATGGCTGGCTGGGAGTGAGGAAGGAAGGGCTGTGGGTCTGCAGATACACTCAGGGACCAGGTGGGAGGTAGACGCACAGATAGACAAGTGGACAGTGGCATTCTTAGGGTGTGGATGGGGGGAGGCATGCAGGGAACGTGGGCACCTGGCCTGACTCTGGAAGGGCAGCTAGGAGGCCGGGGTGTCTGCAGAGAGCGCCAGGCCAGGAGAGCCGTCTTACCTTCTTACGCACCTGCTGCTCTTTGGCTGAATGGGCCTTTACGTGCTTGCGGAGGGAGCTGGGATCCGTGTAGCGCTTGGAGCAGCCGGGGATCTGACAGGCGTACGGCTTCTGTAACATCAGGGCACAGGTGGGTGAGTGAGGGGCCACCTCAGGGCTGAGGTCCTTCTGCATGACCCGGTGGGGAGGATGACTGGGCGAGGGGCCGGCTGCGGGCCAGGAGGGGTGTGGCTGGGCCAGCCCTGCCCCCAGGTGTGGCCTGCTAGTGGTGCCTGGCCGAGGAGTAGAGGAAGGGGGTCGTGTCTCTGTTCTCCCACCCTGCCAGGACCTCAGGTGAGCTCCTCCTCTCTGTGAGTCTTTGCTTTTTCCTCTGCAAAATGGAGCCAACCTCGTTCTAAGGGTTCTTCCAGCTCAGACCCTGGCTCTGAGAAGAGTCCGCCCTTCGGATCCCACAGCTGCGAAGCGGCAGCGAGCAAACAGGCGAGCAGTGAGAAGGCTCCTCGGAGAGGAGAGGAGCGGGCACGGCACAGGGCAAGGGGCACACACGGGCCAGGCTGGGAGGGACTGACCACACCTCGCTGGTGGGTCCAGGGTCCCCAGACAGCTCTCTGGGCCACAAGAAACCCAGGCCCCTCCTCCCGACAACCTCAGGAGGCCAGAAGGGAGCTGGATCTCAGAGACACAGGCCTAGGGAGACTGGGGGCCGTGTCCTTTGTGTGGGGACTGGACAAGCCCCTTCCTTGCAGGGCCCTATCGCTCATCCAGAACATGAGAAGTGGACCCCAATTCCTTCCCACTGCCTCTGCCTGCATTCCCGCCCTGGCCTCCAGCCTGCCCGGGGGTCCGATCTCCCTGCACACTCACAGCCAGCAGCCTTTTCCGCAGATGGGCCCTGCTCTTGCCTTCTGAAACCCCCTCAGTGGCTCCCTGGTGCTCTCAGAACATAGGCCATATCTAGGCATCCAGGGCCCTCTGAGGCTTGGGCCCTGCTGGAGTCTGTACACTTCCTCCGGTCCCACCCACAGGACTGTCCTTGCCCATCCTGCCCAGCCCATGTCACCTCCCTCCAAGCCGCCTCCTCGATCCCCCACCCTCTCCATGGGCCGAGCTTCCCACCCACAGCACTGCCCACCCGGCACTATAGCAGGAGGCACCTGTCTGACTCATCCCAGGTCTCAGAGTGATCCAGGCCAGGGCACTCCTGGCTCTGAGTTCTGATCTCTCCCAAGGGGCTTCCGCAGCACCCTGCTGGGGACTTGGCCACTCCTGGGGCTGGAGGTTCACAGGTTTTCCCCTTTGAGCACATCTTGTGGTTCTGATCTTTCAGGACCCTCCGTCCCCCAGGACTGCAAGGGACAGGAGACCGTTTGGAGGAAATGACTCCTCTCAGAGTAAGTACCAGGGACTGCAGTGTCCCACGTGGAGCTGCCCCCCAAACTTCAAGCCAATTTTGCCCCTGCTGGACCGAGGAGAGGCCAGTCTGACCTTGGACCCAGAGAGAGGTGCCCATGGCCCAGGGACCCTGTAGCAGGGGAAGCAGAGAGACGACCATACCTTGGTGCTGCCTTGGAGAGTTGCCAGGTAAAGGATGGAGGAGAGCAAAAAGAGAGAGACAGAGTGGTGAGAAGCCTGCCTGGCTGCGAGGAAGGCCCGGGAGGGAGGGCTGAAGGCCTGTCTCCGCCCGCCCCCCACCCGCCCCACTCCACCGTGCCAGCCTCTCTCAAATGTGCACAGGGCCCTGCCCTGCCCGAGCTGGCCCCAGCCCTGTCCCTTAGGGATGCTGGTACCTTTCCACTGTTTCTGTCAAAAAGCCAACGTACAGGGCTCATGTACGCAGGCGCACTGGCTGGAGACAAGGCAGCAAGGCCCAGCTCCATGTATGTTTTTCCTGGGTCTGACATGTGTAGAACACTCCTCAGGCCCTGCTTCCCAGTAAGCCCTCAGGAAACCCCGTGGCTGTCCCCAGACAGCAGCCAAACCCCAGGCCTCGTGTCACCGCACAGGCACCAAGGCCAGGACCGCCTTCCTCTCATTAGCGTCAAGGATGCGCCTCAACAGGCCGTGTGGGGCCCTCGAGACCTTGCTCAGGGCAGAGGTCCTCGCTAAGGAGATCTTTGCTAAGCACTGACCACCTGCCGTCTCCTGTGAGTCCCGCATGCACCCCATGGGAATCGACCCCACTCTGCAGATGAAGAAATCGAGGCTGATGTTTTGCCCGAGATCTCAGAGCAAGCGAGAGTGTGTATGTGACATGCCAGGACACTCCTCTCGCCTGCAGCCTTGAACAGCCAAGGCTGTTGACTTGCTGTTGACTTGCGCCAAGAGTGCAAAGGGGAGAGATTATCGCCCCGCCCCATCATGCCAGTGGGGAAACTGAGGGCCAGAGCAAGACAGTGGCTTATTCAAGTCCACACAGGCAGTGTGTGGCAATCAGGACTCAAATGCACATCAACAGCCTGGGACCTGGCCGGACCTGGTCAGCCCTGGGTCAGCAGGAGGACAGGTGAGGAAAGGCTGCACAGGCCGCACGGGAGGGAGGCGTTCACCTCTGAGGAGGCCCAGGGAGGCCGGGTGTCTTTCTCAGACCTCCAGGATCGGGAGACAGGACCAGGGTTAGAACCCGGGCCTGGTCCTCTCCAGTCTGCTCAGAGAAACTTTCCTGCCCATGGAGAGAAGCCCATGTTCTCTCATGCCAGAGGGGAGCTGGGGACATGGCTGGGTCCCCTCTTGGGGCCTGACCCACTGGGCCTGTGAGGGGCGGGTGGCAGGACAGCAACCTAGCAACACGGAGTGGCTGTGGTGTTTGTGTGGGAGCTGGTGTGAACGGGGTGCTGGGCTCAGCGGCCTCCCAGGGATGTCTTGGGGAGACGAAGGCCTGAGACGACTCTGTGGGCTCATTCTGGGCCTGACCCGACCTAGGCCCTGGAGCTCTGTTCACACACCAAGTAGAGGCCAGAGGCCTGTTGCTTTGGGGCTGGGTCCAGGAAATGCAGTGAGGATGGATGGAGGAAGGGGGTGAGTCAGAGTAGGTGGCCCGAGAGGCCCTGGAGGGTGGGGAGAGGGCACAGAGGGGCCTGGTGCTGTCCCTGCTGCCTGTGGCCTCTGGGAGACGTGACCAGGGGTGATGGTGCCCAAACCATGCCGCTCAGGGCCTGGGCCAGGGTGTCGAGGGCCCCAAGGGCTGGGAAGGTAATGAAGGGGCAGGGGATTTGTTGCAGCCACTCCTCACTTCACGTCCCTAGCACGGCCTGTGATAGTGAAGTCTGGAAGGGAGGGGAGTTGGGTTCAGCCTGGGGACAGGGCTCTTTCTTGCCACCCTCATCCCCTCTGCTCAGCTCTCTTCTCCAGGGCAGCTGCACATCAGCTATTCCAGCAAAGAGCACTGGACGTGGAGTCCGACAGCCCTGGGTTTGCATCCAGCTCGGCCAGGTATCCGCTGAGGACAGGCCAACTCAGTCTCTTTGAGTCTCAGTCCTGTTTATAAAGTGGGGATAATAAAGTGGGGATAAAGTGGCCTCCACCTTGGGTTGTCACCAGGATTAAACCGGGGGTGGTGTGTGTGATGCTGTGGGGGCCTGGGGATGTGAGGAATGTCCACACTAGGGCCTGGCCTGGCCCCAAGAACAGCGCTTCCCTGCTGTTTTCTGCCTCTTCCCCCCCATCTATCTTTTCTGGGTCTCAGTTTTCTCAGCTAAGATAAGAGAAATGGCTTGGATCAGAGGCCTGGAATTATCCTTTCAGCTCTGAACTCTAAGGCTGGGCACGGTGGCTCATGCCTGTAATCCTAGCACTCTGGAAGGCCGAGGAAGGAGGATTGCTTGAGGCCAAGAGTTCGAGACCAACCTGAGCAAGAGTGAGACTCCATCTCTACTAAAAATAGAAAAACAATTAGCTGGGCATGGTAACATGTGCCCACAGCCCCAGCTACTCAGGAAGCTGAGGCAGGAGAATTGTTTGAGCCCAGGAGTCTGAGGTTGCTGTGAGCTAGACTGATGCCATGGCACTCTAGCCAGGATAATAGAGTGAGACTCTGTCTCTCTCAGAAAAAAGCTCTGACCTCTGTTCTTTCATGGCCTCCAACTTACCCTGGATGGGTCAGTGGCCCTCTTGGGCCTCTGTTTCCCCCTCTGTGCACTGGACAAGCTGGGCTGATGGCCACTCAGATCTCCCAGCCCCCCACCCACAGAGTTCCCCCAGATCTGCAGGAAGAACAGAGAAGCAGGTCTGGGGCCCAGATGTGGGCTCTGGCTGCAGACACCAGTCTCCTGCTGCATACAGAGGCTGGGGTCCTCCCAGGGCATGTGCCCCCTCACCCAGGGCCCATGAGACTGGTCAGCTCTGCCACCGTCCAGCTGTGCGATTGTGAGTAGGCACTGACCTCCTAGAGCCCTACTCCCCTCATCTGTCAAATTGGCTAGTGACCCCCCGACAGCAGGGTCGGTGTGAGATCCTGGGGGTGATGTTTTAGAGGGTGCTATTAATCTCACGGTGGCGGGGGGGGGGGGATGCTTGGGCCAACACTGGGGGAAAGCTGCTGGTTATCCACCGTCTGGCGCAGACAAGGTAAAGGAGGTAGGAAGAAGAGATCCAGGCATGTGGGGCCCAGGTCACTGCTGCAGGAGCCTGGAGTCGTGTGTGCTCCCACCTCGACTCCTTGCCTACAGTCTCAAGGGACAAAGAATGGCCCTGGAGAGCCTCTGGTCTGTGTCCATGGAAGGCCTGGGAAGGGCAGGCTGCAGGCTGCTCTGGGCGTGGCTGACAGGTTCTGGGAGAGGACGCTGGAGGGTGAGCCCACTTTCTCCATGCGGACACGCAAGGAGTCTGGAGCCCGGGCTGGTACCCCTGGGCTAAAGCAGTGGTTCTCAACTGGGAGTGAGTTTGCCTCCCCTCCCCCCAGGGACATTTGGCAGTGATTGGAAACATTTTTGGTAGTTGCAACTGGGAGAGGGAAAGTCACCTCCTGTCTACCTAGTGGACAGAGACCAGGGACATCGCTAACATCCTATAATAAGGCACAGGAACCCCCTCCCTCCCCGCCACCCATCAAAGAATTATCCTGCCCCAAGTGTCAGTGGGCCAAAGGCAAAGGCAGAGGCTCTGCACTGGACAAGTATGCACGCCCTCCACCCCCGCCCCGGCCTCTGCCCCCCGCCTACCGTGTCGAGGTGCGTGCGCTGGTGCTTGGCGCGGTCGCTGGAGTTGCTGAAGGCCTTCTGGCAGCCTGGGTGCTGGCACAGGTACGGCTTCTCGCCCGTGTGGCTCCTCAGGTGGATCTTGAGGTTCTCCAGCCGTGAGAAGGCCTTGCTGCAGCCTTCAAACTGCAGGAGAGGCTGGTGAGGACCACGCTCAGCCCCGCGGGCACCTCGACCCCCACCTGGAAACTCAGCCCCCAACTCCCATCCTCTCCGAGCCCTCAGGAACGCTGGGTTGGCTCCTCGTGAAGTGCTCAGGGCCCAGACCCTGTCTGGGAAGCCCTGGTGGGTCCAGCAGACTCCTGACTTAGAAATAGGACCCTGGCCGGGCGCTGTGGCTCACGCCTGTAATCCTAGCTCTTGGGAGGCCGAGGCGGGCGGATTGCTCAAGGTCAGGAGTTCAAAACCAGCCTGAGCAAGAGCGAGACCCCGTCTCTACTATAAATAGAAAGAAATTAATTGGCCAACTGATATATATATATAAAAAATTAGCCGGGCATGGTGGCGCATGCCTGTAGTCCCAGCTACCCGGGAGGCTGAGGCAGAAGGATCACTCAAGCCCAGGAGTTTGAGGTTGCTGTGAGCTAGGACGCCACGGCACTCACTCTAGCCTGGGCAACAAAGCGAGACTCTGTCTCAAAAAAAAAAAAAAAAAAAAAGAAATAGGACCCTAGGGCTCGGGAAGAACAGTGTCATTTCTGGACCTAAGGACCCCTCCCCAGGGCCACCTAGAGAGGACAGGTGCTGCAGCACAGTGCTGGGTCAGGACACCAAGTGCAGGCACGTCTCAGCACAGACAGCCTGAGATGCTGAGCCCAAGGCCTGGGTCTGAATGGGGCTCTGTTCCAGGAGGCTTTGGGTAGTGCCCCTCATCCCTTTGGGCCTGAATTCCTTGTCTTCAAACTTGAGACTATGTGGCCACCTCCCAGCAGGGTTGACACGAGGGCCTAAGGGGTAGGACGCTGAGTGTCCTGGGGCTTTGTCCATCTGGAGCATGGCATCGGTGGTGACTGCCGTCAGAACAATAACCATGTCTGTGAGCTGCAGGGTCTTTCACGTTTCATGCGGCTCTGCTATCTTATGTGGCCCTCTACACTATCCTGCCTCTCTTTAGGCCCACCCCATACTCCAGATCAACATCAGGAGTCTCTGGGAAATTTCCAGCCTTTGTTCATGAAAGCCGCTCAGCAAGGACTGTCCCTCTCCCATGGCCTTCACCGTCCCGCTCCAACACTGCCTGGTGGAGCAGCAGACTCTGAGCCTTTGGTGTGCCTGGCTGTTCCTGCTTCTCCCCACCATCTGACCCTGCTCCAGCTGGGCTGACGGTCCGGCATGAGCACGCACCAGTATGAGGAGGGGACCAATGCTGACTGGTGCCCACTACATTCAGGAGTGGTGCTGGGTGTTTGACTTTACAACAGCTGTGAAGTACGTGACATCAATGTCTCCATCTCAGAGATGGAGGCATCATACAGTAAAAGTGACCTGTTCAAGGTCACCAGGCTGTGACATGGCAAAGACGGGACTCAGGCCAAGTCTGATGTCAAAGGCCAGGTGGCTCTGCTATGCCCACTGCCTTCCCAGGGGCAGGTGACCCTCAAGGAGAAAGGGACCATAAGAAGCAGGCTCCCTTTCCCGAGCCATTGGTTTGCTTCCCCAAGTCCAGGGCTGAACTGCCAACTCCAACTGGTTAGGAGACCCTAACTAGATGAGGGCCCATGCAACCTCACCCTTCTGAACCAGGGGCCAGCCTGGGCTCCCAGGAGCAGGCGGCTCAGGATGAGGTGGGGGCAGCCGTGTTCCCTGAGGGCCAGATCTCCCCCAGCCTGCTTTCCACACCTGTCCCTGGGGTTACCTGCAGGGTGGAGGAGCTGACAGGTTCTCATGCAAGTGTCCACATTTGGAACCCTTGACCCCCCTCTTTCTGAGCTGGGCACCGGTTTCTTTCTTGCTGTCTCCAGCTTTCAAGTCACCTTATCCACCACTGAGTTTATGGGTGGGTGCCCAAGAGGACAGCGGGCAGAGTCCAGACCCTGTGGTCCACCTGGCTGGTTTTCTTGGTGCTAGTCCCAAGCCATCCAGCGCACATAGGAATTTTTGGTGTGGGGCTGTTCATCTGGACAGGCAGGCTCCAGCGTGTGCTGGGTGGTGCCGGGATGCGCAGCCCAGGCCCGGGTCCTACCCTCCAGTCCCCATGCGGGAGACACATGCGTGCACGCACACACACACCCTGTCATAAAACTCCGTGGTCGAGCTGTCGTGGAGGGAAACACGGGGGCTGTGGCAGCACAGAGGAGGCGCCTACGCTAGCCTGGGGGCCGCAAGACGTGTCCAAGGGCTGGGTGACTAAGGCAAGCTTGGAGAGCCGTGCAGGAAGTGTGGAGACACAGGCAGGCAGTTACGCCAACACTGATGCATTCGCTCCATCAATCACTCGTCAGCCTGATCCTCGAACGCGACGGGCAGATCCAAAGAAGACAGCGGGCATTGGGCACGAGGGCCAAGGGAGGAAAGGCCACAGATTCCCTGTAGAGGCCCCCTGCGGCTGATATGGGGTACACACTGGTGGTGGGGGGGTTGGTTCTTGGGGAGCCTGCTGGGAGGGCAGAGGCCACATGGCAGGAGCTCAGATGCCAGGCTGATAAGCTTGGCCTCCACATTGGGGTCAGTGGGGATCCCAATGCCCCCATGGATGGGCAATAAGAAGGGAGGGGCCAGGGTCAGATATGCCCTCTAGGGAGACCCCTCTGGCTGCTGCTGACAGGTGAGGGCTTGAGAGGAGGCAGGGAGAGGGCAGCTGCGGCAGTTATAGGTGAAGGTCAGCGAGGCCCGATCCAGGGCAGAGGCGGCAGGAGGAGCAGAGGCCAGGGCAGAACCACCCCGATGGACATGAGGACAGGGCCCAGAGGTGATGACCAGTCCTGGGCGAGCTCCCTCCTGCCTCTCCCTTAAAGGCCTGGCCATAACTGTGGGCCACGCTCTGCTGGGGCCGGTCCAAGGCAAGCCGCCCGCAGCTGGGTTTTAGAGGCTGTTCTGCTTCCTACTTCCAGATGTTGTGCCGTTTCTATGCATTAAAACCAGAAGGAAATCCTGTTTGGGGAGTAAACAGGCCACAAGACACCCCTTGCTCGCCTGCAATGGCCTTGTGCCAAGTTCACCCCAACGTGCCGCGGAGGAGCCTCGGCTGGAGCGTGGGGCTTCCTTTCAGCATCCGGCTGGTCCTTTTGTCCCCCCTGCGCCCCGGGCCGTGCGGGGAGGGGAGGTATCCGCAGCAGAGGCAATAACTCCTGAGCTGCGTGATTTTCCCGACTTTGGTAGAGTCCACTGGACCCTGGAGATCGGTTTATCATCTCCCCCCCAGGCCTGAGTATTCCTGTCTGGGCCGGCCTCCTCCTCAGCACACTCGCTCCCACCCCCACCTTTGTTCAGACTGCGCTTCTCCTGGGACACCTTCCCTTCCAACTCTCTGACAATCTAATTCAGCCCTTTTTCAAAAGTCCAGAATCCACAGCTCGGTAGTTCATGGTCTCCCAGCACGGACCCGACCACCTCTCCCATCCATATGACCCCCCGTGTCATCTGTTGGAGTGATTGATGACTGTCTCTGGACCTGGCAGGAGGTTCCATGCCCTCAGGTCTTTGCACGGGCTGTTCCCTAGGCCTGGAGTGCCTTTCCTTCACTCGCTCAGTCAGCAGACATCAACTCCTACTGTTCAAGCGCCACCTCCTCTGAGAAGCCTTCCCCATGCCCGGTTCTGCAACAGCCCTGAGCTGTGGGCAAGCTGTGTTCACTGTACAGCCATTGCCTTCTCTTCAGGACCCAGCCTGAGAGCCCGAGAGTCCCTGAGGGCAGGCTGTCATCTCAATCATAGGGAAAAGGGGGTGGGGGTTAGAAACGCGATCCAGGGGTTGCTGGGCATGGGCGTCCATGCACCCCTGGGAGTAGACCTCTTCAGCCTGGCGTTTGTCAAGGTACCTGATACGTGTGCACATACGTGTGCAAGCCCAGCCTTGTCCTTCACCCTGCTCCCCACCCTGCCCCCGCCCCAGGACTTCCCAGAGATGAGCTGCAGGCTGGGTATAATAAGCAACTGGCCAGGGTGCCCTGATGGGAGTGGCCCATCCCTCCAGGTGGAACCAGAGGTATCAGCAGGTGGGGAAGGGATGCTACTCCAACAGAACTGGTCTGGAAGGAGGAGGATGCAGGGAACCCTGGCAGAGCCACGTCCCCATCAGGACTAGAATCCCAGACATACCAGGGGCTTTGAGGTGTTTGGGGCTTTGCTTGTAGCTACCTGCCAAGTTCCTTGTGATTCTCCCTACTGAACAGCTTCACAGATGAGGACAGCAGAGAGGAGGATGAGAGTGACCATCAATTAAACACCTACTGTGCTAGCTCTCGTGCTAGTCACTAGTGCTAGTGCTGTCACAAATGTGGCATCTCATCCTTTCCATGGCCCTTCGGGCAAGGGTTACTGTCCCCCTGTCAGATGAGGGGCTGAGGCTCAGGGGGCAGCCAGCACAGCAGTTACAGACACGGTCTCTGGTGTGGACCGAGCTGGGCTTGTGTCCGGCTGCTCCACTTACTGAGTGATCTTGGGCAAGTCGCTTCAACTCTTTGAGCCTCAGTTTCCTCGACTGTAACACTGGATGAGCTCTACCCACTATGGAAGGAGACTGTGGGGACGAAATGAAATGATGCATATTAAGTTCAAAACCCTAGGAAGGGGCTGACCCTGAGGGGCTTCCAGCTAGGGGAGGCTGAAGAGCTACAGAAGCCTGGTGCTTAGGCAGGGTCTGGACACATGTGGCTGGGAAGGCATTTCAGGGAGGAGGCAAAGCATAGACAAAGCCGGGGAGACCAGCAGGGGTGGTATATGTTCTGGACACTGCTAAGGATCTGTTGAGCCAGAAGGAAGGGAGGCAGAGAAAAGAGAGGTAGATGTAGAAATGGAAGTCTGGGGGCTCCCTTCGTTTAAACACATGGGGTGATGATTCATTCTGGAGCAGGCAAGTTGTGGGATTTCTGATCCCAAAAGAGTTCACAGAAACCACTAATTACTTATGTTCTCCCCTAAATGGGGCGGCATGAGTCTATTCACCTGGGAGACTCCGGTGTCACTTCT